TTAAGCATCTGACTTTGGATCTGGGCTCGGGTCACGTCAGTTTGTGGGATCGAGCCCCACGTTGGGCTCTGCACTGACAGTGTGGAGCCTGCTTGGGATTCTCTCTCTTCCTCTCTCTCTCCCCCTCTTCTGATCGTGCTTTCTCTCTCTCTCTCTCTCTCTCTCTCTCTCAAAATAGATAAATGAACTTAAAAAAAACAAACGCTGCTGTGTTCTAATGAAGCCCGCACACCGGGACACTGGCCGCTCTACCCACGGCGTGCACCGTGGCCAGCTTTCCCGGCGGTCTTCTGTCTGCTGCTGAGGGTCTCACACCTTCCTTCCTACAGGCCCTGTGTGTGCAGGGAGGGCCGGATGCTCACACTCAAACCAGTGGGTGTCCCCATTCCCGCGGGGCACAGGGCTCCCTGCGGCTCCCCAGAGAAGCCCCCTGCCCTCAGGTATGCTCGGGCCCACGGGGGCGGTGCGTTGGGGAGAAAGAGCCCCCAGCGGCACCCAGTGCCTGGAGCAGGCCCCGCCAGTGCCCAGCCTCGTGGCCTGAGGCCGGGCTGGGACAGGGTGTGGGAAGGGGGAGGGCTGTGCCCCCGGCTCTCCATCACTGTCATCTTTGCTTTCTGTTCGCTCCACTAAAATCAGAGACAAATGAAATGCCTCAATGGTGATTAAAGGCGAGTCCAAACAGGGTAGTCTAAATCTGACATGACATATGTCCTGTCACTCTACAGATGAGAACCGTTCTACAGAACGAGAATGAGAACCTGTCACTCTACAGAATGAGAACCGTTCTACCTGGTGACCAATTCCAGGTAAGCAAATATACTTTAATTTTGTGTTGCTTATAAAGTGTTAGGAAATACAGGCTGCAGAGAATTCAAACTATTCCTTGTGTCCCCAGAATCATCCCTACTTCTCGTTTTATGCAGAAGAGGCCCAAGCACGTGAGCGCTTTGTCAGGTGTTATAAAGCTTAGGTCGCTGCAGGTAGTGGGCCAACCTTATCCACCTGAGAAGAAGAAACCTCAGCTCAGCCCATCGCAGGTGCTAAGCCTGAAAATCCGCGTGTGAAAGAAAAGCCGGGTGCGAGGCTGCGGACGTACTCAGGTACTCCACACCCTGCGGGCCCGCGGCACAGAGGTTGAGAGCAGAGACCCTGCGGAATTTGCTGGAGCTGCGCCACCCTGCACGAGGCGACTGGGCTCCCGAGCCCCCAGGCCTGCTGCGAGGACTGTCAAACGATGAACAGGGCACCCTGCCCTGCCACGGGGCTCAGCAGGCACCCTGACGGATGCAATACTCACATAGGAGTTGATGGGACACCGCCTCATCAGTAAGCCCCAAGCTCCCGGCGGGGAAGCTGGGAGGGTGCCCCACAACAATGCTACATCCCTTCCTGGCTGAACGGGTTTCACAAGGGGCCCCTTGTGATAGCGAATCGAATCCAAGTGTCCTGTCCCGCCAAGGAGGTCCTGTGGCGGCCGGCGCCCCCTCCTGTGTCCTCGCACGGAGCCTCTGCCCCCTAGGCGGGGCTTGCCAGTGAGAGCCCACCCTCCCTACTCTAGGCGTTCGCCCCCCACCCAAGGTCAATGCTGAACCCCCAGCAGCTCCTTCAGCCCCACGGCGCTCACCGGGACCCCTCCAATGGCCTCTTCCGTTCTTAGAACTTGCCTTTCCTTGAGCCGTATGTGCGCTTCCCTAACAAGGAAGACAAGGAGTGAGTGGTAGCATTGAAATGTGGTGGCGGGTCCTTGGTATGATTTTAGAGTCCCTGGTTGGGTGCATCACATCCCCCCGCAGTCATTCAAACTCGGTATATTGAAAGCTCCAGTGACGTGAAGGGCACGGAAGATTCCTGCTAACTGGGGGTCAAGGACGAACTGTAGGATCCTTTGAGTAGATGGATGCTGTTTAACTAACACCCACTGGGCGTTACTGGAGAGCAGGGAACACAAAACTGTCCACAGAACGATGGCCGTGTTCGGCATTCCCTGTCCCGCTGGCCTGAAGGCCTCTGGGCGGGAAGGGAGGAAGCGTGGCTACAAAGGTCAGAATCACGGTGCCCGATCTGCGTCCCTGCCCAGGACCAGAGGGTGAGAGGGCAGGCAATCGAGTTCTGACTAAGCGATCTTTGGCAACAAACAATTTCCTGTTCCTTCTACAACCAAGAGTCAAAAGCCTTGACAGTCTATAGGCAAAATGATGTCGTTCCTGTGAGGGTAAGAAAATTATCTCGCTCCTTCCCCAGTTTAAACTGACTATTACATAGGACTGTCTACTTGAATCTTCTCTTCTTGAAGTCTAGTTAAGTGCCCTGCTGAGCGTCACCTGGTGCTCACCCGTCACTCAAACAGAAGCTCGTGGCTCTAAGAATAGCGGGGCCACCACGGCCAGGCTTAGGATCGGAGCACAGTGACGGGAGAAGCACCTTGGGGAACGATTTCAGATTAGATGTGTCTGGAGGGAAAAATTCACGCAGGACAGAATAAATACTTAACGAAGTTTTAGAAATCTGCAACCGTCGACTAATGCGGCACCTCTGGAGTTACAAACCCTAAAAACACTTCGAAGACGTTCATTTCAGAAAAGAGAAACCAAGGAGGATAACTTGCTTCTAAACCGTCTGTTTCCTCCACTGTCTCACCACCACCCCCCACCCCCTCCCTCGCTCCCAAACCCGTTCCTAAAGTAACAAGTTCCTTACGGAAATTATAGGCAGGACATGAAACGGGGTGCTTTTTATGATTTCTTACCTTCACTATGCTGATAGGCTTTCGGGATAAGTGGAAACTGGCATACAGCAAAAATGTCAAAACAAAAATGAAGGCTCTGTACCTGAAACACAGAACAGAGGTGGGGGGTGACGTAAAATGAATACAAGATGCGTTAAGAGTACACTGTGTTTCCCTTGCCTCCGGAGACATAGCTAGAAAATGAAGTTACTGCCTGTGCTCTCTTCCGGGATTTTGATGGTTCAGGTCTCATATTTAGTTTTGAGTTTCTTTTCGTGTCTGGTGTAAGAAAGTGGTACGGTTCCATTCTTCTGCATGTCACTGTCCGGTTTTCCCAGCATCATTGGTTGAAGACACCGTCTTTTTCCCATTGCATATTCTTGCCTCCTTTGTTGAAGATTAATCGACCACACGTTACAATCGTGGATTTATTTCTGGGTTTTCTACTCTGTTCTACTGACCTATGTGTCTATTTTTGTGCCGGTACCACACGACTTTGATTACTACAGCTCTGTAGTGTCTCTTGAAATCTGGGATTATGACGCGTCCAGTTTTTTCAAGAGTGCTTTGGTTATTCGGGGTCTTTTGCGGTTCCATACACATTTTAGGAGTGCTTGCTCTAGGGCTGAGAAAAGTCCTCTTGGTATCTGATAGGGTTTGCGTGGAGCCTATAGATTGCTTTGGGTAGTACAGACGTTTTAACAATGTTTGTTTTTCCAATGCATGAGCGTGGAATGGCTTTCCGTTTCTTTGCACCATTTTGACTTTCTTTTGTCAATGTTTCATAGTTTTCAGGATACAGGTGTTTCACCTCTTTGGTTAAGTTTATTCCTCAACATTTTGTTGGTTTTGGTACAATTGTAAACAGATTTGTTTTCTCAATTTCAGTTTCTGCTCCTTCATTGTTAGTGTATGGAAATGCACCAGGGGCACCTGGGTGGTTCAGTCGGTTAAGTGTCCAATTCTTGATTTTGGTTCAGGTGTGATCCCAGGGTCATGGGACCGAGCGCCACGTTGGGCTCTGCGCTGAGTGTGGAGCTTACTTGGGATTCTCTCTCTCTCCCCCTCTGCTCTGCCCCCTCCCCACCTCACGCTCTTTCTCTAACTAAAAATAAATAAAATGCTCTAATTATGCTAAAAAAAGAAAGAGAAATGCAACAGTTTTCTGTAAATTGATTTTGTATCCTATGACCTTACTGAGTTCATTTATCAGTTCTAGTAGATTTTTGGTGGAGTCTTTCGGGTTTTCTATATATTCTATCATGTCACCTGTAAATAGCGAGAGTTTTGTTTCTTCCTTACCAATCTGGATGCCTTTTATTTCCTTTTGTTGTTGGGTTACTGAAGCTAGGGCTTCCAGTACTATGTTGAACAACAGTGGTGAGAGCAGACATCCCTGTCTTGTTCTTGACCTTGGGGGAAAAGCTCTGTTTTTCCCTACTGAATATGAGGTTCGCTGTGGGTTTTTCATACATGGTCTTTATGATGTTGAGGTACGTTCCCTTTAGACCTACTCTGTTGAGGGTTTTTATCATGAATGGATGTTATACTTTGTCAAATACTTTTTGAAAGCATTTTGACATGCTTTGAAATGATCTTATGGTTTTTATACTTCCTCTTATTGATGTAAGGTATCGTGCTGATTGTTTTGCGAACACTGAACTACACTTGCATCCCAGGAATAAATCCCCTTGATCATGGTGTATGATTTTTTTGATTTATTGTTGGATTTGGTTTGATAGTATTTTGTTAAGGACTTTCACATCTATATTCATGAGAGATACTGGCCTGAGGAGATAAAAATCCTTAAAGAGAGGGGTGCCTGGGTGGCTCAGTCAGTTAAGTGTCCAACTTTGGCTCAGGTCATGATCTCACGGTTTGTGCATTTGAGCCCTGTGTTGGGCTCTTATTGGCAGTGTGGAGCCTACTTGGGATTCTAGCTCTCTCCTCTCTCTCTGCCCCTACTCCAGTCGTTTTCTCTCTCTCAAAATAAATAAACTTTAAAAAATCCCTGAAGAGAGCATAGGCAGTAATTGCTCTAACATCGGTTATAGCAACATCTTTCTAGATGTGTCTCCCAAGGCAAAAGAAATAAAAGCAAAAATAAACTCCTGGGACTACATCAAAATAAAAAGCTTCTGCACAGTAAAGGAAACAATCAAGAAAACGAAAAGGCAACCTACTGAATGGGAGAAGATATTTGCAAATGACATATCTGATAAAGGGTTAGTATCCAAATATATGAAGAACTGTTACAACTCAACACCCCAAAAATGAATAACCCAATTTAAAAATGGGCAGAAGACATGAACCGACACTCCTCCAAAGAAGGCACCCAGATGGCCAACAGACACATGAAAAGAGGCTCAGCATCACTCACCATCAGGAAAATGCACATCAAAGCTACCCTGTGATATCCCTTCACACCTGTCAGAATGGCTACAATCAACAACACGAGAAACAACAGGTGTTGGTGAGAATGCAGAGAAAGGGGAACCCGGGTGCACTGTTGGTGGGAACGCAAACTGGTGCAGCCACTCTAGGGAACAGTATGGCGGTTCCTTCCGAAGTTAAAAATAGAACTACCCTATGACCCAGGAATCACAATACTGAGTATTTACCTCCCAAATACAAAAACACGAATTCAGGGGAATATGTGCACCCCTATGTTTATAGCAGCATCATCTACAGTAGCCAAATTATGGAAACAGCCCAAGTGTCCACCAACTGATGAATGGATAAGGTAGATGTGGTATACATATAACCTGGAATATTACTCAACCATAAAAAAGTGAAATCTTGCCACTCACTTGCAGTGACATGAGCGGAACTAGAGAGTATAACGTTAAGTGAAATAAGTCAGTCAGAGAAAGACAAATATTATACGGTTTCACTCACATGTGGAATTTAAGAAACCAAACAAATGAATAAAGGAAAAGAAAAAAGAGAGAGAGTCAAACCAAGAAACAGACTCTTAACTATAGAGACTGATGGTCACCAGAGGGGAGGTGGGTGGGGGCAAGCGTGAGTAGGTGATGGAGATTAAGGAGGGCACTTATCAGAATGAAAATAAGTAAGTAAATAAATACATACATACTAAAACACTGTAACTGTATTGTATTTTAATGTACTTAATGTGTTTTAATTTTGTAATGTTTTTATTTTATTTTTTGAAAGAGAGGGACAGAGCACGAGCAGAGAAGGGGCAGAGAGAGAGGGAGACATAGGATCTGAAGCAGGCTCAGGCTCTGAGCTGTCAGCACAGAGCCCAACACGGGGCTCAGACTCACAAACCGCGAGATCATCGGTTGAGCTGAGTCGGACGCTTAACCAACTGAGCCACCGGGCACCTCTGTACTGGATGCATTTTAAATTGTCTTATGCTGTATATTGTTCATTCAGTCCTATATCGTTATTAATCCTGTATGCAGGATGGCCATAATATTACATTAAAAAAATCTGCCACTTTTAGGGGCGCCTGGGTGGCGCAGTCAGTTAAGCGTCCGACTTCAGCCAGGTCACGATCTCGCGGTCCGTGAGTTCGAGCCCCGCGTCAGGCTCTGGGCTGATGGCTCAGAGCCTGGAGCCTGTTTCCGATTCTGTGTCTCCCTCTCTCTCTGCCCCTCCCCCGTTCATGCTCTGTCTCTCTCTGTCCCAAAAATAAATAAACGTTGAAAAAAAAATAATAAATAAATAAAAAAATAAAAAATCTGCCACTTTTGTCCAAATCGAAGCTATTTAAATATTCGTTAAAAAAAAATGACTACAAAGAGAAATCTGAGATGTGGAACATGAACAGAGTCCATAAAGTAGACAGAAAGAAACCGTCATCTAGTCTGTAACAGAATTAACTGCAAATTTCTTGTAAGCCTGCTATCCTGGGTGTTTCGGATCCTGTTTATTTTTTTACTTTTTTGTTTCTGTGCAACTTGGTAGAAGGACACAAGAAATGCAGGAATATAAATATCTCAGGCACCTGCACGAGAAAGTCAGCGATGCGGACATGCGACGATCAAGGCCGATGACGTAGGAAACCCTGGCCTAAAGCCTTGCTGCTCTTCTCGGCTTATACGGAAAGCAAACCGAGAGTAAGACGGAAATGAATCTGAATCAGAGACTCAAGAAAAGATAATTGTGTAAGAAGATAAAAGTTTTTCCAGCTTTAGAGTTTGAACCACTTTCTGCAAAAGTATTTCTCAGACAGGGAGACAGGTGAGCAGGAAGAGTATTCGGCAAGAGATGAGAGCAGGGGCCTCTACCTGCTCTCAGGTAGAGGCAGGCCCCTCGTTTCGGGAGGCGCAGCCCGAAACCCTGAAGAACCTGCCTGTTTCTGGTCTGAAAAGGCCAGTGAGTTTCCAAGAGTGTCCACTTTGGTGGGTAGTGACCTCCGGTGGAGGCACGGGTGACAGAAGGGGGCAAGTCGGGGCTCCACCTCCACAGGGACCCGGACCTGCCCTCACCTGGGCACAGGGCTCCCTTCTCCAGTCTCCACAAGGAGTATGAACACCGGTCTGGGACTGAGTCAGCTCCAGCATCTGCCGGACCAGAGTCTGAGAGAAGCATCTGGAGCCTTCGAGGATGCTATATAACACCGGTTCACGAGTGTGTTATCAGCCAGGAGAAATCCGAATTTCATCGTCATTCCGCTCAGGAATTTGACAGCGTGGCTTTTGGGTTCACGCTCTCTACTCTCCACCCAGACATAAACGGAATATCCTACTTACAAATACTTGATTTTTATTAAATACGTTAACATGTTTATTAAATAGAGTCAAAAAACCCAGACATAAAGAGCTCCTCGGTTCGTCCAGATAACATCTGAAGAGCTCGGGGGCCCTACCCTACCCTGCATTCCTGGATGGTGCAGTCCGTCCAGGTTATTGGGACTTAGTGGACAACCCGGGCCTCCACCCTCCACCTCGAGGCTGCTGTCCTCCCTCCCTGGGCCTCCAACTTCACTCCCCGGGCCGCTGCCTCCTTCCCTAACTGGCAGTTCTACAGTGGGCACTCACCAGTGCAGGGCCTGGTGGGTGAAGGTCGTTCCCCTGACGGCCCCTCGCTGGGGGACGCCCCCTGAGTACAGGGGCCGCAGAGGGGAGCTGTACGTGCTTCCAGACCAATCTGAATTTTCTGTGATGCATCAGCGTCTTTGGGGAGGGGACGTGCCGAGAGGCCGGCAGCGTTCTGAGAGAAGCTGTCCCGGAGTCAGGGCGAAGGGTGAACATACACAGCAAACTGGAGTTTTCTTGGAGATGGAAACTGTGTCTCCCAAAAAGGAAAGCCGTATCTTTGATTCAGCCGGTGTCAGGGCCGACGGTCCTTCCTCCCTCTCTTTCCTCCTCTTGTTTACGTGGGACTTGGGGAGGGGGAAGAGCCCGCAGCAGAGGTCGACTTTTCCCCTTCCAGAAGGCCTGGCCACAGCAGCCACGTCACTATGCCTGTCCTGGAGAGGGAGCAGACGCTCGACTTCCTCGGGGTTACCCGGGGTTATGGGACCCAAGTCCTACGCGGCCCTCCTGATTCCTCAAATCAAATGAGATCCTAAATCCAATGACTGCAATCTTTATAAAAGGCCGTGTGAAGACACAGGGACAGGCAGGGCAGAGGGCCATGTGACCGCAGAGGCACAGCCAAGCCAAGGATTGCCAGCAACCACAGAAGCCAGGAGAGGCAGGAGGGGGCCTTCCCTGCACCCTGCGGACCAGCCGACACCTGGATCTCTGACTTCCAGCCTCCAGGACGGTGGGAGGAAATTTCTGCTGTCGGGAGCCCTACAGTTTGTGGTCCTTTGTTACAGCAGCCTTGGGAAACGGACACCATCCCATGCTTTTATTTTTGTGTTGTGTTACACACAGGCTTGTGGACATTAAACAGGAACCCTTACAAATGAGCTGCCTGACACTTTCGTTCCTGTCTGTTCCGCCTGTTTTTCGTAGGGACGTCTGACGGTGGCCTCGTCCGCGTCTATCGGTACCACGAGAACAGCGTGCGGGTTAACACCACGTCTCTAGCAAAACCAGAGCACGTCTCGGCAGCGACAGCCCAGGACAGGTGTGCACTTCCAGAGTCTGCTTGGACACGTTCTCGAATATCGCAGGTGTCCCCAGATGGATAGCAGCCTGCTGCCACCTGAGAGATTCGGGGCAGAGTATCCATTTCCTCCTCTGAGCGTTATCGCTCTGAGTTGTATGCAACTAATGACGCATACTTTAGACGAGGGTAACGGAGCAATACGATTTGGCACAGACACCAGTCCACAGGCTTCATCTGGAAACAGTGAAACCGCGCCTAGCGGTGACGGGAGTCCTTTTCAGAGCATCCTAAAGCAGAGGCAGGATGTCGGTGTGGTGTTAGCAGTGGCCACTTGGCTAAGGGGCTGTCTGCCCCTGTCTGTCCCTCAGGGAGAGCCACACCTTTTCTAAGCAATTAACGGAGGAACCGTGGGGACATACGGGGAGACCACACGGCCGCCCTGTCCCTCCCGCCTCCTCAACAATGTGTGCACGGAAGCTTCAGGCTTGAAGCAGTGATCCTGACGGTCACGGGACGGCGGTGTGCCATCGCGGGCCCGGCTGCTCTACTTAGCGGCTGGCATTCCACTTGGGGAGGGGCTTCCCTTCTCCCGTTTGTGCATTCACTTACTCATTAGATTCTTAGTGTATCCAATGGGCTATCATCCATTCCTAGTATCATTTATTTTCATTTTTTTTTTCTGGAGAGAGAACTTGGGCACGTGC